TACCTTCTGGAGCTGGAGTGTCCCTGTCTCTGCTGGCCAACACAGGGGATTTAGAGAAACTCTGTCTATAGCCAAATGTGTCTCTGGGAGGGTATACTTATCATTATTGCTACATTTATAAAACAAGAGGCTGAATGGCGCCGTGTGTTTCATGTTTGAAAGTGTGGTTGGCTATTTGCGTGAGTGCTGTTACAGTTTAAGGTGACCAGATGAGTAAGGGAAACACTGCAGGTGGATGTGGCTGCTCTCTAGTCTCTTAACCCCTCCTCCTTTACACCAGTTCTCAGCTAGGTGAGACCAGCTGTGGTGTGCACACCTGTAATCCTGGCATTCGGGAGATGGGAGAAGGAAGGGCCATCAAAAATCCGTGGTTGCCCACCGTGGGAGTAGTAGCACGTACCTTTACCCCAGCACTTGGGAGCCGAGGTTGAACACACAAACTTGGAAAGCTTTTTAAAACTGCAGCTGTTTATGCCTTATTCCCATCTGCCTCAGAATAACTGGGGACTCTGAGGTGAGTGGTTTTTCAAGGCTCCCCATGGATTTACCTCATCAGCCAGGGCCAAGAACCACATCACCATGCACATGACATGGGGGAAAGGGAACACAGGAGACTGGGTTTGAGTGAGCCATGGCTGTGAGGAGATGGGGCTTCCAATATGGTGTCTCTCTTTTGTCTCTTTTCTAAATTTGCTCTTTCTCTTGAGACTCCCAAGAGAACAACGTGCCCTCCATTCCTATCACCCTCAGAGCAAATCTCCTTTCCATTGCCGATGTGCCAGGGGCTTCACTGTATACCTTCTGCTGCTTCAGCCCACTTTTCTGTCAACCTGATTCAACATGGCGGTGACGTGGGAAGGCTTTTCCAGCTCAAACCTGTCTCTGAATGTCCTGTGCCCTCTCCTACTCTGACCTCCTTGCCCTGTACTCTGACCTGCTCTTCTTCACTCCAGTGAGCCTTTCTTTCTTCCCTGATAGCTGCAGTTGTGTTTAATGAGTTAGGTGTCCGTCCTTTTTATCGCTACTTCCACCCGACGATAATGATTCACTCAGCCATGGTGCAGTTGGCCTGTGCTTCTAGCCACATAGACTATTAAATTCCACAAAAGCAAGGACTGTGTCTTTTTTGACATACCCACACCCGTTACTGGTAGAGTCAGGCTCAGTGGATACTGAATGAATAGCTAAGTGATTACACAAGAACGGAGGGAAGGGAAATTCTTCAGAAACTGACTCAGATCTGAATGAATACAGAAGAATGCAGTTTTAAGGACTGATTCATGCAGAGCCAGGTAAATCAGATTTTAGCCCTTTCATATTCATATGCACACTGTGTCAACCACAACTATGCCAGGTAAATGGGGATCCCATTATAGCAGGAAACCAGACCAGCTTTCCACGCAGAGAAAGGAGCCTGGTTCCCACAGCAGGCTCTCCCCTGAGCAATAAGCAACAATGTTCATGCGCGAAAGCGCCAAGGAAGACTAATATTCAACATTATTGACTTCTGATTTTAGTGGCCTTTATACTGCTAGTAATTAATGAAATGTTCAGCTAAAATGATGTGACGTTTGAGATTTTACTTCAAAACTCCTGGAATGGGCAGTGAGGCGTGAAGGAGCACATAAAACAAGATTAGTTAAGAATTCAGGGATTTTGAAACCGGGGTAGCGGTGCTTCACATAAGAGATTCATTTTATTACTCTGTTTTGGTGGGAGAGTGAAATTATCCAGAATAAATTTGTTTTTAAGGAAGATATAAAATATTAGTTAGAGTACTTATTTGCCTTTAAAACATAATGGAAGTCTTTCTCAGCATTACCATTGGGTTCGGTGAAGATATATTTTTAAAAGGGAGAGAAAGGCCAGGCGATGGTGTCTCATGCCTTTAATCCCAGTACTTGGGAGGCAGAGGCAGATAGATCTCTGTAAGTTCGAGGCCAGCCTAGTCTACAGAGCAAGTGCCAGGACATCTAGGGCTGTTATACAGAGAAACCCTGTCTTGAAAACAAAACAAAACAAAAAGTCAGGGGTGGGGGTGGGGAGAGAAAGAAAACCTCAGTCATACATCATCTGGAGCCAGCTTGGTTTCGGTCAGTTGGAAACCAGGAATGTTCTGTAAGGTCTGTACACTGTAATCAGTCCACATAGTTTCCAGGCAGCAGCATTTACACACCACTGCTGTGTGATTTGTAACCCCATTCATATGTCCAGGAGAAATACAGCCTGTTGATCTCTCCCTTTATTTGCTTAGCCAAACAACACTTTTTCACTGTGCAATCTCAAAGCCCACCAGGAGACAACATCTCAGTTGGGGACTCCTCCTTCCCGTCCCTTCTGCTGTTTACACAAGGCTCATCCTTTTAACGTTGGCGGAAAGTGGAGCACTGCAATCCCTTTTTACTTCTAACATTTGCTGCGCGGATAGGGAACTTCCTGCCTCTCCTGAGGACCTTCACCTTGGTTAGGAATGTGTATCTGATGCCCCAGGACCCTTCAGAGTCTTCTCACATTCTCTCCACAGTCCTGACTCTTTCTCCACAGCCCTTTCTGCCCTAAGTAGCCGAGATTTTTCTGAGTCCATGGCTTTCTTTGCCCCTGAACTCTGGGAGCATGTCCATCAGCCTGGCTTTGCTAGTTCCTATTCTTTGGGGTCACTCCTGCTATACCTGGTCCCTCCTAGTGGTGATCCCATTCCCTTCTGGTTCTGTTTGCCCGGTGCTCTCCATACAGCATGGCCATAGGTCTGAATAAAGGTTTCAGGGCCACCATCAGATGACTTGACCATTGCTGGAGTTTCATTAAGGATGAGAGCCTCAGTGCTTCAGGGTCTTCTCCTTGGCCTGGCAGCCCTGGCTGGGTTTCCTCTTCTGACCAGGAAGTCAGTCCCTCTTGTTTCTCCCTGGAGACACTCTCTCACTGCCCATGCCTTGCCTAAGGCCCAGCTGCTTTTCAAGCCTGCACTGGCTGGCTAGAGTCCCCCGTTTCCTTCTCTTTGTAATTTCTCATGTTCCTGCGATACCTTTGGTTGACTACATGCCACATTTACTGTTTTGGCTTTTACATCATTAAAAATTTCTGGATTTGGAGGGTTCAAAAGCCAATGATGTTTTATATCGGAGTTTAATAAATTAATAGAAATATACATTGGCTCCCTTGGAATATTTCGGTTCCTGTGTACCTTTTGAGCTCAGTATGACTTATGGGGTTTTTGCTCATTAACAATGAGTGGAGAAAAAGCTTATTTTAGAAAACAAATGAGACAATTATATTAAAAGAAATGGAGATACAAGAACGGCATGCATCAGGATTACAGCTAGTAACTGGCCAGGCCACATTGCTCTGCCACTCTGCTCACACAGGAGCAAGCAGCTCCTTTATGTATCCACTCAGTGCATGTACACTAATGGCTCACCATGTGCCCATGCACTGCCAGGTGTAGGCTGGGATGTGAGTGTTCAAGAGTACTGGAGCAAACGACTTAATTAGAAGTAAAATACTTTTCATCTCTGTTTAATAAAGTAATGAGACCATTGATGCGGGTTTATTTCAATCCCCTAAATTAATCATTATACAGTTCTTGTTTAACAGACATAGATTAAAAAACAACTCTTAAACCAAAAGCTCTCATTGCCCAGTGGCAATTCTTTTCATTGCCATGAAGGTAAGGAGGCCCCTTCCCTCTCAGCAGCCAAATCCCCCA